CACCTCTGGGCTGGGGGGGCTGTGCAGGATGTGGGGGAGGCTCTCACACCTTCACGGCCCATCGCAGCTCGGCAGGAGGGGGTCTGGCCACGGGGCACTTCCATCACACCATGTCCCCCTGTTTGTCCACCCTGGGGGGTGCTGGGGATGGATTCTCACCCCCTCCCCAAGCAGGACAATGGGTAGGACCCACTCCCAGCTGGAGGGCCCTGCCTGACCTCCCCGCACTTGGAGAGGAACTGTCAATTATTCTTTCCTGTTTAATGATTTCTAGACCCACAGCTTTGTTAGGTGCTCTCTGACACCTTCCAGCAGGTGTTTTCTGGGATGTTCATGTACACAGGTCAGGCAGAATGGCTCTGGGAGAGCTGCAAGGCTCCAGGATGGTTCCTTGGCATGGATACCCACCCTGTGCCCCTCCAGTGGTAAGCTGGGACACAGGGATCGGTAGCTCCCACTGGCTCCTCAGAGCAGGCCCTGCTCTGCTTGCCTCATCTCCTCTTTCCCCATCTCCTAGCATGGAGGAGGAGGATTTTCCTCTTTCCAGCAGTCAGGCTGAGGAGAAAATCCCCATCTCCTGAGCTGTGAGGGAAGGAGCACCCACCCTTGTGCCCAGCTCGTGTCCAGCAGAGAAGAAAAAGCAAATAAAATACACCTACCCCATGAGACTTCCCAAAACAGACCTTCTGAGAAAGCTCTGTCATCTGAGAAGTGGGGAAAGGGAGTCAGGGGCCCAGGAGCCCCATTCCTGATGGACACTGGGCCATTCTTCTGGAGAAGGTCTTGTTACCCTCCAAGGTCAGCCATAAGTGACACCGAAACCACTGGGGCCTTTGGGAATGAACACCGAGACACGTTCCCTGTCAAATGGAATCTATTAACAGGGATTAGAGGCTTTTTTTCATCAATACCCCTGTGACACCGTGATGGGCTGAAATTGCTGTGAAAACATCATTATTAAAAATGGGCCTATTAGTATTAGAATGGACAGAAGCTCCTCACTAAATTTAGCAGCAGCCCCCGGAGCTGGGACGGGAGGGGAAGGCAGCCCTGGGAAGGGGCTGTGGGAAACTGGGGTGAGGTGGGAGCAGAGGGGGCTGGGGGGCACCCCCTCCACGGAGCTACTGGTTCACTAGCCCAACACTCAGCACAAGGAGCAAAGTGGTTGCTCGGAAATAGAGCAGACACACAATAATCTTTGCTCCAAGCGCATCCATCAGCAGCTGGAGACACTCTGGACACTCCAGGGATGCGGATCCGGCTGAGAGCATCACCAGGGACACAAGGACATGGCTCGAGTGTTTGAGCTCCATCACCTGTGAAGGGTTTAAGTGAGGGCTAGAGACTCTCAGGAGCTGGCAGGACTGTGTTCACCTGCAGAGGGGCAGGATGTACATGGCATTATGGGGGGATGGAATTCATAGTACCCCCCTAATTGTCACGGTGTGCAGCCCCTTGGAGGGACAGGATGGCCCTGGGGGACCACTGAGCTCTCACGACCCCTTGGAAGGAAAGCAGCCCCCATAGCCATGGAAGTGCCTCTCTGGAGCCAGTTTGGTTCTGTGGGAGGGCTCAGCCTGGAATTGTTGACAGGTTTGTTTTCCTACTGAGAAATGCAGTTTTATGGAAATCAAAGTATTCCCGGGGAATCTGCTGCTTCTGACAAAGTTTTTGAGAGGAATGTGTCTCAACAAATCACTTTAAGTCCCTTGCTTTATTTTTCACAGAGGTAAAAATAACTCCTTGGATCTTTATGTGATACAAATCCTATAGAATACAATTAATCTAATATTTATAATATCACATCATGCATTGACTCTGTCAACTGAAACATTTAGCTGTTGACAAAAGGATTCAAAAATTCTCTTTCATAAAGCAGCCGGTTCCCTCCCCGAATCCAAGCGCTGTATTCCTCATGCAGGGGGGAATTCTGCTTTGGGAACAACCTGAGGATGAAGCACAGCCCCCAGAGCTGCATCTGGGGGCTGGGGGGGCTGAGGGGGTTCCTCCCCCAGAGGGTCCAGCCCTGGAGGGTGGTTTTGGAGCTGGGGTGCAGAGGATGTTGTGTGGGGCCTAGGGAGAGCTGAGCCCCTGGCACAGCCCCCCCCAGCCAGCACTCACAGGGATTTCACCAGAGTTCCTTCTCTCCCAGCCCTCCCCAGGCTGTGCAGAGACCAGATGGGATCCAATACCCAGCCCTAAATGTTGGCTTTGATAATCAGCTACAGGCCATTAGGATAATTA